GGGATTGCCAGGAGAGGAAGGAGACCCGAGGCCAGGAGACCCGAGGCCAGGGCGGAGACCGGGGCCTGCCGGGACAAGGGCAAGTGCTCTGCTATCTGTCCAGACGCCGCCCGGGGCAGAGGCCACCCCTCCCTCACAGGCATCTTGCCCCACAGAGTCGGCAGGCACCACAAGGGCCAGATCCACCCACTGCCCCTCTTTGTGTCGAATAAAGGAAGTTTTATTGGAACACAGCTCTGCCCATTGGTATACAAATTGTCTTCAGCTATTTTCACACTGAATGACTGAATTGAGTAGTTGCGGAATAGAAAGTCCAGCCCTCAAACTCTAAAATATCTACTGTTTGTCCCTTTACAGGGGGTGGGGGGACTGTCCCTCTTGCTCTACAGAGCAGTTCCCAGAGTTCAAGCCGGTAGCATCGCTGCCACTGCACACCCCCAGGCCTCGCCCAGACCCACACAGGGAGAAACCCTGGGCGTGGGGCCCTTCAGGTGACTCGGGAAAGCTCCCGTCTGGCTTCCGGGCCCCTCGGTCATGATGCGGTCTTGGTGACAGCCAGGCAGAAGCTAAGAGAAACAGAGATCAGTGACAGGAAGGGGTTAGAATCAGGAAACAAGGTGGGGGTGTGGGGAGGGGGACCCAGGGAATCTCCAATGGTGCATCCGAACACGAATTCCGCGCAGGGAGGAACTCGCGCTGGTGCCCCAGCGCCTCGCCCAGCACGGCCTGCCTGTCTGTGAGCGGCTGGGTGCGTGCCTGGAATGGGGCCCAAAACGTGACTCTGGGGCCAGCATGTGGCGTCAGGGAAAGAGGTCACCTGGCAGGTGTGGTTCAGGACTGAGGCTGAAACCCATTTATAGCAAGAAAATATTACGAAAGGCCAAAGAGCAGAGGCATGTTTAAAACCCGAATAAAACTCTTTCACTGAATCTCAGTTTGACTTCCCACTCCCTGCCTTGGGCTGCATATTGGTTCTGGGGATTTTGTTGTTACCATCATCGCTCAGCTGTACCTCTGTTTGACCTTAGATAATTTACTCAAGCTTCCCAAAACTATGAACTGAATTAATAAATGTGAAGCACTTTGCGTCTGGTACATTCCCTCTATTAAGGAAATATTTTGTCATGTTCCTAGCCACCATCTTATTTCATGTTGGAAAAAAACGTTACCAAATATTACTAGCATTTTACCCATTATTGACTCCAGTGGTAAAACTTTGCTCATCAATATTATTTCTTTATTTGTCTTTAAAGAGATTTCTGCCAAACAGTTCATGTTGCAATCCGAAGCTTAGGTTGATCTGAGTTTCATTATTATACCGTTTTCCACTTAGGAACATATCACAAACTTTACCAAAAAAGTATTAAAAGAATATTTGCTAATATGGAAATAGGTCACTCTAAGGTTCTGTTATTTAGCAAAATACACATGTGTTGGTATAAAATAGAATATCTAAATCTATCTTGATACATTTCACCCTACAGTTTTTAAGAACTCTGTGTGAAGTTTTTCATATTCACCAGGGTTGAAGTTTTACATTTATATGCCTTTTGAAGAACTCTGCATATATTATGAACATGTGAAAAAGAAAATAAGATTATTGAGGGCTTTACGAGGTGAATAAATATTATTTCGTGATTTTTCAGTGATAAGTAAATCTCTATTATGTCAAGAAGTCATCAACTTGAAACCTTTATAACTCTTGGCAGAGTGACATTTTGAAAGTGAAATTAGTGTTTGGTTCTTTTTTTTAATTCCATAAATGCCATGGGAATTTTATCATGTTTCAACACTTGCTGAATATGTAATTCCCATAGTGCTCATTAGTGGCCATCTGTGTAAGGTAATACATGTTTGGGACGAAATTGATTATGGCCCAAACACTCCTGTGTTATGATCAGGAAAAGCATGCAAAGCTCACATCTTTTTTTCTAATGATCATTATGTAGCTAAAGATATTAATTTCCAGAGGCAGGACAGCCTATCACTCAAGATCCTAATCTCACAATAAGGGACACCAAGGCCAAAGGAAAAAAGGCTGGAGAGACTTCCACTAAAATTAGTAAGTGCTGGACTCAAAGGGCTCTTGGGATAAAAGGAAAATTAGCAGGCTTTGGAACACATTATTTCCTTTATAAGCATCAAAGTGAACCCACTGCAGTTTTGCTGAATATTCAGAAATATTTCATTACCCGTTAGAAATCCCGCAATGGCCACCAACAGACTTCAAGTTCACCTTCCCCATAACTTTAATCAGCATATACACTGCTGGCCTAACCACCTTGGTCCTGTACATTATTTTTGCCTGTTGTGAACATTTTTCCTCTTTACCTGTGTGAAACGAGGTGCTATCCTTCTCTCAAATATGTTTTCAGTGTTATCTCCTCAGCGCCTTTTATTTTTACTAGATCTGAGCTTGGTGGTACTTCCTCAGCTCATTTATTCACCTAGAAGAAAACTAGAAAACATATGAATATACTGGTTTACATATTTCTAACAAATGTATTCACATCTTGTCTCTCACATTATCTACCTTGCCTATTTGTGAAACAAGTTACAAAAAATAATTTCATTGTTTAAAAAATTTTGAGTGCTTGTATTACTGAACTATCCCCACGATCATCTTAAAGTCTTATCAGGCCTCTGTAGACTATAAGGCATTTGAAACACAGCTGTATCCTGATCTTCCCTGGGATATGGGCCAGGATGAGTTAGGATCGAATTCCCTAACAGTAGACAAAGGAATTGATAGAATCATTGTCTAAACATTGAACACAGCAATTGCGATGTTGGCATCGTTGATGCTGAACTGTCCTTCCCCTTCATTCTTGAACTTCTTGATGATAATTATTCATCAGGTTATGATAGACTTCAAGTCTGCTTTCCATTAAAGATAACAAAACAATACTGTCTCCCTATGAAGGAAATTTGCCTTCCTGTCTTATATTTTATATACTAAGAAGTCATGCATCAAGTGCTTCTAATAGCTGTGTAAGTTATTTGGGATATATTGAAAAGAAAATGGTCTAAAGTGTAGCAATACTTAATAACATTGGATTTTAGATTTTTTTCTGTCAGTCATTCACTCACTCAGTACACATGCAGGTACAAAGATGAATGGGACATGGTCCCTAATCTTGAACAAGACTACCAGAGTCGTACACTCAAACAGCTAGTCTTAATATGATCCGTTCAGACGTGTAAAGAAGAGCAAAGTTCTATCAGCACAGCAGAGGGGAAACCTTGTTTTAAGAGATGAAGGAAAGCTTCAGAGAAGCAGTAACTTTTGAGTTCAGCCTTACAGAACGAGCCGTGTTTCCAGACAAAAAGATGGGAGCTGCAGATGTGTATATCCACATGCAGACACTCACATGCACACGTGGACATACAAACAGTAATGCTCTGCACGCCCATCTATATTTAAGCATGTGGCAGAGACAGGTGGCCGGCTGATTTATCACCGTGCCCTTCCCCCTTCTGCCTGTCACCTCCACTATGAAGGCTTAAAAAGCTAAATACTACTAATGATTAGGTTTGGACATATTTAGAAATACTCTGAGGACTTTTGGAAACATTTTTGCTTTTCGAAGAAGAGACAGATATGGTTGATATTACCCCCTCCTTGTCATCTTTGACCAGGCTGTTACAGTTCTAGCAGGGACAGCCACCCGGATTCACAGAGGGAGACCTAGAGAATGAGTTGACATGTGGCCGAGCTGCGGAACAAATAGCCCTGACTACCCACTTCATACTGCTTACATAAGGAAGCCGAGTTTTTATTAAAGCTATTATTAGTCAACTTTTCCTGTTTATAGCAAAAAGCACTCCTAGTTATTATAAAGTAAATACACACATTCATTCTTACTTGTATTTATATGCATTCAGTTTTAGTTCCCTGCCCAACAAGACTGGGACTAATTTTAGACTTCCATTGGGTGGTAAGTAAGTCGATCTTAATGTTAGAGGAAAATGGGAAACGCAGTGCTTTTTTGGTTATTACCAACTGGCCACTGCTGTTAGCGTTTCCTTTCCCTTGATTCTGTTTAGTCCTTGTCTTATATTTCCAATAAAAAATGAAGTTGAGACTGGAGAAAAGGGTTGAAAAGAAACATAAAGGTCAACGCGGGTCATGCAGGAGGTTAGATTGGGGGACATGGGGGCGACTGCGGCAGTGCCACTTGCTGGCTGGGCACATGAGCAAGAGAAAGTTTCCAGTCTTCGTCTATCTCAGTGCATTTCCATGTGGTTAAGAACAAGAGCACCATTGCCTATATCCACCTGGCAAGCCAGGGTTCCCTCACAGCCAAGAGCTCGTTCTCCTTTTTCTCCATTCAGGAAGACAAGAGTTGAAGCCATTCTTGGTGAGAGGTCAGGACAGCTTTCCATGGAGCATACTGGTTGTATCCAGTCTTGTGGGAAATGTACCAACTCGTGAGCAAGAGATCTTTAACGGACTCTGACCTTCTACGATGCAAATGCGAAACAATCGGAAAAACACTCCACCTGTCCTTTTTTTTTAACAGAGACTAATGCTATCACTTTGTTTATTGTTCTTCGTCCTTTCTAACATGTGTATACTTCCAGACACTGCATCAGATTATAATCAAATCGTACTGGCATATTTCCTTCTTTTTCAAACAGGTCTGCAAGATTGTGTCTTTACTGTAGTGATCGGCAATAGTTTGGGGGTTTTAGCCACTGCCTGCTGCTTTTAAACTGACTTGATTTGCCCCTGTCTGCTGTTGCTGTTTCTAGAATCCATTTCTTACCTTAGACAGAAGTCAGGTAAAACTCGCGGCCTGGGTCTCACGCCAGAAGCCCGGATGAAAGCCAGGGACCCCCAGGAGAGGAAACTCACTGGGCTCATTGGAATTTACACCAGTGTCCGTGAATTAACATTCACCTTTGTCTTAAAAGCATATACATACTTCAGTTTGTTGTTGCTCTTAGAGAACCTAGACTGGTCTGATCTTAAAATGTTTACCGTTTATTTTCCCCAGAATCTTCAGCTACTGGGAGCCACAGCCATTGAGGATAAATTACAAGATCAAGTGCCTGAAACCATAGAGACTCTCATGAAAGCAGACATCAAAATCTGGATCCTTACAGGGGACAAGCAAGAAACTGCCATTAACATCGGTAATTCACCCAATTCAAACTTTAATTTGTGATGCTTTTGAACAGCCTGATACGTTAGAGAAGATAAATTGTGGATGTGTCCAGATTTGAAAGATTTGGTATTTTGGTTTCCATTATATTATTGGGCGTGTCTGCGTGTGGCCCAGGTGACTCTTTAACACTGTAGTGGTTGTATCTCCAACCTAACTACGCTCGCGCCTGCAACCACGCGATACCCACCCTCCCCTGAGCGTCATCGCCTGCCCCCGCCTTCCCTCCACACTCGGCTCAGGTAGCTAACATTTCTGCAGTTATCTGTGAAAGTCGAGAAATTGGGATCGTATCAGGTCGTGTACTGATGCTTGCTTATTTGACCAAAGGTCATTTCCAAGAAAGGAAGTAAGCAGGTTCCGGGTTTCCATTCACCTACGGTTAATTCCGTATTTTGGGGGGAGGTTATTATTAGCTGAGGCTACCATAACAGAACACTGCAGATCAGGCAGTTTAAACACCAGAAATAAATTTTCTCATGGCTCTGGAGGCTGGAAGTCCAAGATCAAAGCATCGGCAGGTTTGGTTTCCTCTGAGGCCTCTTTTCCTGGCTTGTCTCTGAGTCCTCACATGGCCTCTCCCTGTGCACAGGTGTTTTTGCTGCCTCTTCCTACAAGGACACCAGTCCTATGGGATCAGGCCCCACCCTTATGATCTTTAATTAACTTTTTAAAGTCCATTTGTCCAAGTGCAGGCACATGTGGGTTAGTGCTCAAGCGTGTGAATTTTGGGGGGACACGATTCAGTCTATAACAGAAGTCTTACTGAGAAGAAAGTTAGTGTTCAGTGTTAGCAGCCTGTAGTACTGATGACATGCTAAGGAAACGTCACTCCTCGTTCCCAGCTTCGGTAACGGTGGGTTTCCTGGGCACCGTGAACCCTGATATCGACTCAGCCTCTGGCCAGTATTACACACAAACTCTCCCAGAGTTCAACAGGCCATTTCAGAGATGTTCACAGTGTGAAACCGCATGTTCAGACAATCGTGATTAAGGATCATCTGTCCAAAAACATTAGCTAATATTCCTTTCAGAAATGCCAGTAATCACAGTATTCAGGATATATAAATGCACCACAAATTTACAGTAAAGTCATATCAACTAAGTGAAATTAAATTTTCAAAAACACTAGCTAAGACTTGAAACCTCCGAGCCACCCAGATTACTCCTTCGGATAATAAACACCATCACTGGCGTTAGAGACAAAATGGAAGATGCGCAGGCACCAGGATTCCCTGAAACACAGAAATGTGACAAAGCCTGACCACAGATAGAGGGGGAGTGTGCGGTGGTTAAGGGTGACATGTGGGGGAAAGAAGAAATCGTGTAAAAGCGCTCAGGATACAGAGCCTATGAAAAGAGGATGGTAGCGGTTTCCGGTCACGTGTTACACCTAGAATCTTGTTCCTAGGAAAGGATGGGTAAGATTCACTCATTCAGCAAATGGGCAGGCAGGGCGGCTGCAGTGCCAGGCACCAGCTAAAAGCGACGAACAAAGCAAACCAAAATCCTCCCTCCTGGAGGGCTCCCACCCCAGTCAGGGGAGCAGACAATAAAGTACGTAAGGAGAACGTGTAGCATAGTAGATGCAATAATTGCTACAAAGAAAAATAAAGCGGGAAAGGGAGATGCAGCCTTGCACAGAGGGATTCAGGTTCAAATCTTGAGGTCAGGAGGACCTCATTGAGAAGGTGACATTTGAGGAATGACATAAGAGAGGGGAGGGAGCTTGTCATGTGCGCGATTGGGGGAGGCTGTCTTCGTTCTAGACCAAAAGAGCAGAAATACGAAAGGGTGGAGGAGAAGCGGTCAGCAGCGTGACTGAGCCCAGGCAGGATGGGGCCTCCAGGCGGTGGTCCAGACTTAGTGTTTCCTCCGAGTGAATGGGAAACCTCTGGACAGTCCTGAGCAGAGGAAAGACGTGATCTGACTTTCCCACGAGAACAGTCAGTTTGGCTGCTAGACTGAGAACTACTCAAAGGAAAGCAAATATGGAAGCAGGGAGACCAAGGAAGAGGCTGTTTGATTAATCCAGGTGAGACATGCTGGTGGGTTGGACACCGGTGTTTACAGTGGAACTGACGAGAAATGGTGGGATTCTGGATATACAGGGACCGGCACAAATAATGCCCCTTTTTAATTACAAAATCATTAGCATGTAATTCTGTAACATAACACTATCACACTCAAGCACTCCATATGACATTTTAGGTGAGATGTTCAAATTAAAACTATAAATTATTACACCCTATACTAGCCTACCAACCACACAGAAGCAGGTGTTACTTTTGCCAGACCCTGTATGTTTAAAGTAGAGCTTGTAGGACCGACTGGTAGACTAACTGTAGAATGCTAGACTAAGGAATCCAGGGTAACTCCAAGGATTTTTAGTCGTAGCAACTGAAGGACGGAGTTGCCATTAACCAAAATGAGGAAGACTGGAGGAGGAACAGGTTTTCCGGGGGACGTCAGGAAGCCGTCTTTGGGATATGTTAAGTTCCCAATGCCTATTCTATACCTAAGTGTCTGCTGTTCGGTAGGTGCTGGGATGTGGAGTCTGGAGTTCAGGGAAGAGACCTTAGCAGGAGACAGGAGTTCCAGAATGGCCATGATTTCGATGGCGTGTAAGACCATGGGAAGGACTGAGATCATAGAGGGAGTGAGTATAGACAGTGCTGTTTGAAATGTGACGATAGTATTTGACACGGGAGGCCAGTCAGCAGGGTTGCCTGTTTTTCTCCAGCCACAGTCAACCGCAGGCAGACAGATTCAGAGGAAGCAGGGTTGGGTTAGCCAGCCCGTGATTCTGCCCCACAGCATGTACAGCAAAGCCAGCGATGGCAGGAGGGTAGAGGAGGGTGTGGTTCAAGCAGTTGTCCACGGCATGGGCAGAGGACCCTCCTGCACCCTCCCCGGCCAGCCCTCAGCCCATCTTCTGCTCTTCCCGTTGGTCGTCATGAAAGATGTCCACATGTCAGTTGTCGGGACTCTGGGAATCATCACCGCAGTCCTTTCCACCTTGTTTACGAGACAGCTGTCCCCTGTCAGGTGTCGACCTGGTAGCGTCCCCTCCTGCAGCAGGCTGGAGCACTTCTTCATTAACCACCTGCAAACCTGGAGAAGTCCCAACTGGCATCTTCCTAATAAGTTGGATACATCTTAATTTTATGTAAGAAAACAGATGAAAAAGCAATTTTCTAGCATTGCTTTTATAGTATTGCTTTAATGTCTCCTCTATCCAGAGAAATTAATGGCATCAATTAATTCCCTTTATGCTTGGACACAGGACACTCCTGCAAACTTCTGAGAAAGAACATGGGAATGATTGTTATAAATGAAGGCTCGCTTGATGTAAGTAAAACCATCTTTAAAAAAGACAATCCTTTAACAACATAGTCATCTGGTAGTGTTGCATTTTATATTCAGAAAGCTGTGAAAACACTGTCTTCCTGAGGTTAAAAGATACCTGGTTACCACCGTCCTCTGGCGTAAAGTGCTCAGTGCTGACGGCGATGATGTGAGCGCTCTCTGGCTTCCCGCAATGACAGCTGGAGGAGAGCGCCTCACGTGGCGAGACCCGAGCACTGCATTATCAAGGCACAATGGCCGGAGGCTCCTGAGTGACGGCCACTTGTTCCTGTCCATCTGGATGTTTTGTGTTCGAGGCGTTTATTAGTAATTTCTGCTTTAGCTGCCAGTGAAAATATATATTTTGCTTTTAAAAAAAAAGTTGTGAGCACTATTGAACAACACAAAATAACCATTGCTTATAGGAAAGCACTTAAGTTTTTTGTTTTGTTTTGTTTGGGGTTTTGTTGTTGTTTTTTTTTTGTCAGTGTTCTAAATTCCGGGCTGAAATCCAAATTCCAGGGAAGTCTGTTTTCATGGCTTTGGTCACCTGAATTTATATTTGGGGAAGCGGGGAGGATTGGTTAGGTGCACAGCGCGAAATAAACATTCACAAAGAAATACGTAGGTTGAGTGACCAGTAAATATTTTGAAGTAAAGGTGACTGTTTGCAACTTAAGGCAGGGGACAGAGCGGGAGATGTGGTTATACAAGGGCTTGAAATGGTCCCTGTGGCACGAAGAGCGAGCAGAGCAAACCTGACCTTGTGTGGGCGGCCGCGAGGTGAGCATGTGGCAGGGGTGGTGAAGAGGCGAATGTTTACAAGTCCAGTGGAGAACAGAAATTACGTGTAAGAAGTGGTTGGCTTCCGACTGTTAAACTGGACTGGTGATCTCTTCACTGTTTGTCCTCAGAACAATCCTTGTGATGTCTTGCCCTTTTTTATGACATCTTTGAGCAAACTGGTCACCCGAGGAGCAGTACGTGATTCTGCAGGCCTGGAAGTTGCTCACACCTTTACCTATTGCAGAAGTGCTTTTTGTGAACCAAGCTCTAGTCTTAAAAGCACAAACCAAAAGAAAGCCAGCCCACTCTTTGAAGACTTTCCTCTCTGTTTACCCCTTCCGTAGACCCCCTGGTAGGCCCTGAAAGCCATGGACTCTGCCCACTTAGGGCTTCCAGTTGTCTCCATGCCCCACGCCTCCTATGTGTTAATTTGGATTTATTTACCCAAGTTACTGTGCTGTGAAAAATTATGACTTAAGAGAACCCAGCCTTCCACAAGCTTATAAATAATAAAAGAACTAAAATGCACACAAGTAACAATACAAAACAGCTATGTAAATATGGCAGATTGCTATGAAAATATTGCACAGTTGAGAGAAGTATGTATAAAATAGCCTTTAGATAGAGGCGAGTTATTGAGTAAGGGGGTGGTATTTGGAGCAGGAAATTATTGCAAGTAAGTTCAAGGCATACTTGGGGCTTGAAGGAGGTACATTGAACTTGAACACAAGATTATAACTTTTTACATATTTTTGTTTGAATAAATATAGGCACATAATGTAAACTTTAAGTTACAAAAAGGGAAAAGTACAGACGGTAAAAAACTGGATCTCCCACGGGTTTACCCAGTTCACCTCCCTCGGCTCGGCCACAGGTTCCAGTTCCTCATGTTCATCCAGAGATATTCTGCCGTATCTAAGGACATGTGTGAATGTCTGTACACGCATCCTCTGTCACTAAACTCATTACAGTGTACTGTTCATACTGCTTTATACTTTGTTTTTCTCATGTGATGTATCTTAGCAATTGTTCTGTAATAGTTCACATGACGCTACCTAATTCTGTTTAGCAGTGTGGCTCAGTATCTGTAAGGTACCAGGAAAGAAGTGACCCAGGGAGTTAAAATTGGAAAGGCAGGCTGAGGGCAGGTGTGGGAAGCTGGGCCAGGATCGACAATTTGCCTGTACAGGTAAGAGGGGCAATTTCATCAGCCTCTTAAAAGAGGTAAGATGCATATGATCAAGTGTACATAGGCATATTTGGAAGGGTGGGGAGGCATGGGGTGCAGGCAAAGGACCAGGATGAGAGTTTGGTAAGAAGAAATGGGGGCACCAGCTGCAAGATGTGGAGTGAGAGACATTCAGGGAGACCTGTCCCACGTGGTCCCTGGAGAAGGAGCCATCCAGGCGGTTCCAGAACTGGGTTTCTGTAGTTCACAGCTCTGCAGAAACCTCAGCAGAAGCATTCCCACAGCCCCTGTAGGCGGTTAGTTACATCTTTGTCAGCAACGTGGGTCATCGCAGAATGCTGTTTTTCTGTCACTTGAAGGAAATCAGAGGTAGGACCCGTGACATCAAGACAAAGGCATGACAAGCCATGCTCGCTCTGACACATGATGCCTTTGGTCTAGTGTCAGGTTTTCACCTTCTGCAGAAAGTGGTCACCTTGTTTCTTTCATTGTCGTCTGTTTCATCATCTTTCTGCAACTCTTGGCTAACCGTGTTCTTTAAGTGTTTTAAGTATCATGTAAATAGGAATCTCAAGGGAAAAAAGTGAACTGTTAAAAACATTCAGTGTACCACATCATGTACTGTTAAGAGAGTGCCTTTTACTTTTATTCTGAAGTTTCCAAGAGGGTAAACTCCAAAGTCATAAACCCCTCTGTCTGTCTCTTTGGGTTCACCATCCCCTCTCAGCACTCAGCAAATTGCCCAGCACGCAGGAAGTCCTCCATAAACACTGGAGAAGTCAGTCACTGAGTAATTTTAATTAGGGGCTTTCTTTAAAAACAAGAAAGTTGTGTATCAGTTTTAAATTGGGTGGTAATCAACCATATCTGATATTTTAAAAGTAAAGCGATTAGCAATGTCCTTTGCAATTCAAGTGACAGTTTGGTGTGGAATATCACAGGCAGACGCTCTGGCTGAATGATTAGCACTAATTTGTCCAGCTGCCGGACTGCCAGTCATTCTGGCGCTGCCGTCTGGGGGAGGGTGCGTCACAGGGAGCTAAGTGGTGACTTCTTCTCCCAAGGAGTTCAGTGCATCTGGCTGTTCAGGGTCAGGCCTGCTCTGGTGCACTCATTTGCTTCCCAGCAGGAAAGGAGACATCACTTTGCATGTTTCACTCTGCTCCCTCAGATCTTATGTCGTCAACACCACGGCTGAGACTTCAGGCAAATCATTAGATGTGCTAGAATGCCTGCAAGTAAATCATCGTTTACTTCTTCATTGCCATGGCTGAGCAGAGCCTCCCATGTGTTCAGATTGTACTGATGATAATAAAATATGGGATTGCAATTCTATCAGCAAAAAGGATAATTAACATTCAGATAATAAATTTAGGAGCAGAATGTCTTGGGAAATAATATAAGGAGAAATAAACGGTGGGTGGGTGTTTTGTCAAGTGACAATTTTCATGAATGTACTCAAATTATTCCCTGAAATTATATCGTGTTTAAGAGTGCTATTCTGCTCTAACTGGAATGGGGGACCCTGGGCAAGTTGAAATTAGATAACTTCTCTGAAGCACTTTTGCTGCCTATAAAGTATGGGGAATGTTACCCTTGGCATATGGTTAGTACAGCACGTGGCACATATAAAAATGAGATGTCAGGAAACTTTGTAGAAAAATAATGTTTCAGTAGCTTGCACATTGTTTTGCTTGATGATCTTTTTATTTTAAACCATATATTATTTTCCCATCTTTTCATTATTTTCCTGAGAAAGCACTTTATAAATGCGGATCCCCTTTTGCATAAGTGATGCATATTGCCCTGAAATGGTCAGATTTTCTACCAAAATGTTACCTCTAATACTGCTAAAATTTTAAAGCAGACCCTGTTGTATTATGTTGAACTTACACAAATAAAGTGTCCTATTTAAGGCTCCTAGACCTCCAAATAGGAAAACCTTTCTCCCAGTAGTGAAAAAAAGTCTTTGTCTTCCCATAACCTAGCTCATCTAAAAAAGAAATGCCACTTGACTTTCTCATTTTCTCATTTTTGGGTTTCAATATGATTATCATTCATAAAAAAATGAATGGCTGTTCGGCATTTTTAAAAGATTTTATTTATTTATTTTTAGACAGAGGGGGAGGGAGGGAGAAAAAGAGGGAAAGAAGTATCAATGTATGGTTGTCTCTCACTAGCCCCCTACTGGGGACCTGGACCTGCAACCTAGGCATGTGTCCTGACTGGGAATAGAACCTGTGACCCTTTGGTTCCCAGGCCGGCACTCAATCCAGTGAGCCGCACCAGCCAGGGCTGCATTTTTTAAAACCTTTAAATAAATATATAAAACCAAACTACAGTTGGAAATACAAATGAACGGAATGGAAGTCTTGATCTGCAGACCCAATGAGGAAATCGGACTGGCCGGCTTCCCCTACCTGCCCGGCTCCTTTCGTGACGAGAGCAGCAGCCCCTTGCAGCCCGATGCCGAGAGCACAGCTGGCGTCCTCACCCGGCACCTGCCAAGCCAGTGTCGAATGTCGCGTGGTCAGCAAAAGGTTTCTTAGAAAGCTGGTCTTTTTTTTTTAATTTAGAAAGTAAGAATTTCATGGATAAGCATCATTACGAATCATCTAAAGTTGATCAAAATCTAGTAGACACCGATAATAAATAGATAATTAGGGTAATTCGTATAATTTTTTATCATGCTTCTTCTGATTATGTTCTTGGTAGAACACATTTCCTTAAGGGTCTAAAACGGCAGGAATGTCAAGTGAATCAGTGGCTTGAATGGGTGTGTTGTACTTCCTCCCCAACTCCGCCCAGAACTTTTCAGAAAGCCCTTCCACTTAATGACCTGGCTCCAGGAAATGGTTCTAGCATCTACTTCATTGCTTTAGTTTGTCATGAAGTCATTTGTTCAAGTAGATTTGTTTAAAGCCTGTTTAAACTGGAAACATGTAGAAGTCTGAGCTAGGAACTAGAGACCGTCGCAGGTGACCTACCTTTACCTCACAGTGGCTACCTAACATCTGTCAAGAGGCTC